CAAAATCTTTATTTCATAGTTGAGGAAACCAGAGATGGAGAAATAAATTGCCCAAAACATACTGGGCCCAGTCCGGTGATATTTCTAGACCATTGTGTCATAATCAAAGTTAAATCCATCTAAAATGTTACGTAATATAAAACATAGCATGCAGATGCCTTATGCAGCATTGCCATGTTTACGATTTTGCACTTATATTTTATAATTCTTTAATATATTCTGAGACTTCTGCTTATCAGTATTGAATGTAATAATCCTTGTATTAGTCACTTTGGTGGTAAGTGACGATAATCTTAACATGTTGGAGTTTGTACATAGAACTGTCGCCAGGGTGGTATGTGTATACATGTATGTGGTTTTGTATATGTGCGTTGTCAATTAACAATATGTACTGAGTACCTTCTGCTGACGTCAGTGTGCATAAACTATACAATCGGTCAGTCTCCCCATGCAGGGGGTGAAGGAATCCTCTTTATTCCATTAATCCATGAGGCTGTTCAAGGTCAAGGAGGTCTCATTTCATCTGATAAAGGCCTGGGGACCTAACCAGAGTATGGGTGGCCAGGAGAGCCCCAGCTGAGAAGCAGAGTAGGCCCCTCATGGACGCAGAGAGTAGACTAGAGCTCCTAGAAATTCCAGCTGCTTACAGATGCCGTTTCTCCCTCGGACGTCTGCATGGTGCCGGCAGTGGTGCTCAAAGCGGCACACGCGGGTACTTTCGAGCTGCTTCGCTGCAACTTGCCCATTTTCCATTTTCTCCTGTGGGGACGCGCCCGAGCCCAGTTTGGATTTCTGCATGCTCTACCGAGTAATTCAACAGCAGCAAAGGCGCTGTTTCAAAAGGAATCACTCAAGATACGTGATGGTTTTAAACTAAAACAGTTGTTTTATAATATATACATGTGCAAAGATATTTCTTTCAGTGGAGGTAACTGAAGAAAAATTTGAAAACATCTTTTGACAAGTATATATCACATGTTAAATTAGAAAACAAATAGCCGTACTTAGGGCTATTCTATTTTTTGGAGACTAAAATAGAGAAAACTAAGCAAAAAGGTTTTTTTCATCTTTGTGAATTGATAGGAAGTCTTGCAAAAGTATAAGATATAAATCGCATTTGGTCTACCTTTTTAAAAACTTCTTAATTGAAATGAATAAAATTACTAAATCAAATTGCTCTAAAAGAATCTTGGATATGTGGTTCAACTAGCTAACATAATTATGAGAGCCTCAGAATTTTGTTACCATCTTTGGGACTAATGATGACAAACTAGAGATAAATATTTGGATGCCAATTCCAACTCCTTGCACCATAAGAGAAAAAAAAGTACTTTAATGTAAAAGAAACTGTGAAACAGCACAAATACCCATCTCTTATGCAGAAGAGTATCAATTAAAGTGAAATTAGTATTTGAAATGATCAAATTTCAGGTAGGAAATTTCAAAATGTTGCTCATTGAGCTACATCTCTTTCCCATTCCATATAACCACACTAGACAGAGATGTAACTGAGCTACTCACTTAAATTTATATCTATTTGTGCAAAGTTAAAACATTTAAATTTGATTACAAAATTATCTGAATCAATTAAAGTCATTACTGTATTAAATGGAAAACCAAACTTTGCCCATGATGAATATCTTAATTATTTTGATAAATGAAATATGCAATGCAATTATTCTTATGCAGGGTTACATTTGGAATTTTCATAAATTTTACATTGAGTAAACTGATGTATTACAAGAACAGTGATTTTTCTTTTTAAGAATAAAATACGAAACTATCTAAAATGTTAAATTCTGATTTACAAGGTATTATTGCCATCTGCTGGTCATACAGTTTCATTGCATTTTTTGCAAACGACCAAAAACGGAGGTGAGGTTTAGATATAGATGACTGCATTCAAAATCGCTCAGTAAAAGAAATAATTTGCCAAATCATGAGGTATCTCCATTGCAAAGTGGATACGATACTGTGGGAATATATTATATTATATCAAATTATACTGTATTACTTTAATTGTCAGTTCATCACAGAATAAGTATCTGGCATACTGTTTTAAGTTATTGTCATTAATAAGCATATAGCTAAAATATGACCCAAACAACTCTCTGCTCAAAGTTAGTACATCAAAATAAGTGGCTGCTGTTAGATAAGTTATAAAAAGATGAAAGCATGCCATGATTCTAGTCAACGGAATAAACTAAGTGCCATGTTTTTCTTCACCTAAGGCAAATCGATTCTCTCCTTAGTAACAGAATGAAATGAATAATTATTTCGGCGAATGTCAGTTTTCTGAGTTAACTAAGGAACCTAGAACTTGTGTTACTGTTTAATAATAGAACGCATAGCTAATGACAAAGAATCCAGGTATGAAAAAACTAAAAAGTAATACTCATCACTATACTCTGAATATGATCAATCTAGAGCAAGATATAAAAACTTTTTTTGCCAGGCTGGTGTGACTCAGAACCAAGAGGTCACCATTCTGTTCCTGGTCAGGGCAGTGCCCGGGTTGCGGGCTCCATCCCCAGTAGGGGGCCTGCAGGAGGCAGCCCATGGATGTTTCTCTCTCTATATCCCTCTTCCTTCCTATAAAAACAATTTTTAAAAAAGATCCGAGGACTTTTTTAAATTATTAAGCTTGTACTATGTTTTAGGTGCCTCAGCATTTTTCAGGCGAGGAAATAAATGGAGTGGCCAGGTTACTAGCTTAAGTCCCGCGCTGGTCATCCTGCATAGACGGCCTTGTGTGTGAAAGATTTAGACCCAGCCTGGCACACAGTCAGCTGTGTGTGTGCTGCCATCTGAGTCACTACCTACGTCCTGCTTTCACCTTTCACACTGCAGCGCGAGCATTTGCCTGCATCATTAAATATCCAAATGACTTTAGTCAACTTAGTGATGAATGCTGCGCTGCGTCCACGGCCTGCCATTCACCGCTTGGTGTTGAGGTTATTCCTAATTTTTAACTGATACAAATAATAGTACAATGAACATTCTTATAAAAATATTTTTAAATGATACAAATGACCATATTTGTACTTCCAAGGGCTAGACCAAGGGTAAGAATATGCTTTATTCTGTTAGGATACTGAGCGTCCAAAGGCTAATGGAAACTCCAGGAAACAAATTGATGAATAAGGGAAACCTAGGAAATATGGGCGGGGCACGTGGGGGCTGCGTGGGGGGCTGCGTGGGGTG